GAAATGTTGACAAAGTGGAAGATAGTTAAATAGCGGAGGTTTGTAAAATAGGGGACGGTAGTAGAAGAAGATGGTGGTTTCTCTGTGCAGACGGTGAGGGTGACGAGGGAAGCCTGGACGGTTCGGAACAGCCGAAATTCCGACGGAATCGCACCACGTTCAGCCCGGAACAGCTCGAGGAGCTGGAAAAGGAGTTCGAAAGATCTCACTATCCTTGCGTGTCTACGCGCGAACGGCTAGCCTCGAAGACCTCTCTCTCGGAAGCTCGTGTTCAGGTGAGGATCAATTCCATCCCAAGATACCTTTGTCGGGGGGCTAGGCGCGTTTGGTTCTCGCAGGGCGTGTGTGTTCTCCGATCGGCGGTGTTCTCTCTTCCCTGTCTACGTTTACTTCGACTTCGTCGTCGTGTCCGAACAAAAATTCTCTCCCCCTCCCTCGAATAAACAGAGAGACATACACACGTGCACACGGTATATTCCCATCCACCGTGGAAAATAATATATGCAGGCCCTGCGTCCTCCTCGCGTGCATAGCCCACCCACCCTCTCTTTCTTTTCTTTTCTTTTCCTTCTCTTCTTTCTTTCTTTTCTGGAAGCGTAAAGAAATTTGATCACGAGCCATCTAACGACCTAACTCGTGACTCTTAGGTTTGGTTTTCCAACAGACGGGCAAAGTGGCGTCGTCATCAGCGAATGAACCTTTTAAAACGTTCGCCACCTCCGCCACCGCCGCCTCCGCCTCCGCCGCCACAGCCGCAGCTGCCGCAGCAACAGCAGCAGCAGCAGCCGCAACCGCATTCCGCATCCGGTATGGAAATAAACCGTGCGTCAAGCTGCTCAATCGCCGGAATGGGAGGAGAAAGTAGCGCGTTCCGGGCCGTCGTCACCAACTCGTCCGCCAGAGACACAGTGGAACGGAACGAGAGGATCGACAGGGTCGATCCCATCGGGAAACAACCGGAAAGAAAGCCGAGCGCGTTTAGAATGATCAGCCAGCTGGTCGGCGACGATTCGCCGACAATACTGAGGTCCTCCAGTCCGAATTACGAGCAACAGAGGCACGAGTCGAACGTCGGTTCCACCGTTGGCTCCGAGTCCACCAACAAAGAGTTCGATCGAGTCGAGGACGAGGAAGAGGACGAGGAGATCGACGTTCAAGACTCGGATCAAGATGTTCCTTCGTCGCCTACCGTTGCTTGGAGGGATCACTGGACGGATCAGCAACCATTGGAGCTCACCAAACACGATCGTTGAACTTCTTCAACATCTTCTTATCCAAGACAACGAGGGAAATTGTGCTTGACAAATTGAGCGTGTGTTGAACTAACGTTTCGGCGCGGAATTTTTTCGGTGTCGAGGGGGGAATGTAGTGATTTTTGACGAGGTCAATTAACCGGACAGTGAAAAACGTGGCTTGGAGAATGAACGTTAAAGTGTATCCTGCGATGTTTGGGCAGCGGTCGAGGGAAAAAATTCCGGATCCGTGACCGTCGTTCTGGACCTGGAGCGGAGGCAACGAACTCGAATCTGATACTGGGAATATTATTCGCTAGTGGACTGTGTGTATTTCCCTTGAAAATACTAATCGGACGTGTTCAGGTCGTCGATTTCTCGCGTTAAACGGTCCTCGAGTTTCGTCCTTAGTACCTATTACAGCTACTTATCTACGATTAACGATCCATTTATTACGATATTATGATTAAGTGCTGCGAAAGATGATCGTGTGTGTTACGTTTCGAGAGAGAGAGAGAGAGAGAGAGAGAGAGCGTAATTATCGGTGAGCGATTATTGTGAAAAAGTCAGAAGTCACCGAAGGATTTAGATAGGTAATTAATTGCTTGCTCGATGAGTGTCTGAACAGTGTCACGCGTCCGCAATTATTCGCGTAATCTCGCTCGATTTAGAAATTCACAAAACGCGACAGCTTCTTCTTTCCGGGATGGAAAATCGTGTGGATCGCACGACGTCGAAACTTATTCGGAACTAGTCCTAGCGAATCATTATGCCGCAGATAATGTATTACCTAGGCACTACGTAGATAGAGTAGGTGAATGATGGTAATCCTTGTAACGAACTCTGTTAAAGTGACTTTTATTTAAATGAATTCGTTTGTAAATATCCAGACACGAGTTTCACAATCATACAAATCTCGAATTTCATCGATATCGATCCTATCCATCCACGAACGCTACCCCATCGCCGTAATTGTTGGGTGTGCGAAATTAATTCGGTGCATCGTTGTTTGAAAGAAATTAAACAGCTTTAATTTTCAAAATCTCCATTATTTTGGACGACTACTTTTCCATTTATCGGATAACTGACGAATTTCCTCTCTGCGAAAATACTCAAGATAGTTATCCAAGATAATTACTCGAGGGAAATAGTCGAAAGAGGTACCGAATTCATTTTCACACCTGATATCTCCCTCGTCCGTCTAATCGCAAGCTCCTTCCACTCTACGCTTATCTTATTTCAGAAATTTCCAGGGAACAAGCCGTGGACCTCGAACCGTGCTTCGATCAATCTTACCATAAACAGTATAAAAAAAGAACGTTTCTCCCGAATAAAATAAAGCAGATGAGCCAAAAAAAAAATGTAGGAATGGTAGCATACGTCCACTATTCGACCAGCAATTTCCATTGGATCCGGCGTTTTCGTGGATCGAATCAGTTTCGGAGGCATCCCTCCAGCAGTGATTCGCAAATGCGGAGACACTTCTGCGGAGAGAAAGAGGGACGGTGCAAAAGGCTCATCGACGATTAACTCGAATCTACGGTTTCGTCGGGTTCGCAAATAAGGAATCTGCGCGTGAAACTGGTTTCTCGGGCGACACTCTTCGGGCACGGGTGGAATCGGTTGTTGCCGGAGAGCACGAAAACACCGGATCCGCCAACATTTCGGATATCGTGGTCCCCGTCAGCTGTTAACGCGACTACCAAATTTATAACCACGCCCGTGGGCCCGGGGATGTGCGCGCACGGTAGAACGAACGGAACGATCGAAGGAAGGTGAGGCGGCTCGTGAAGCGAGAGGTTGGACCCCGAGTCCGAGGACTCTTTCGGAGGAAAGACCTGCTTCGGTTTGTAATTGAAACGAACTCGAGCGTTTCCTGTCGTCCTCCTCTTGCTATCGCTCGTTCCTTGTCCTTTCTCGGATAAAGGGACAAACATGGTACCGTGTATAATTTTGAGTTTCTTGGGATCTTCCCTTTTCCTGACCGAATCAGGCCAAACATGAGTATCCTTCGTGCAGATTCTATTGGAAAATGTTTCTCTGTAAATCCTTTCTTTTCGAGTAGACGAAATTTGGTATTAAAGCTTCTGCTCGAGATGGAGAGCACTGTGATCGAAATTCTTTTCCTAACCGAATTGAAAATTTCCCTCTGAAAATCCTTTCTTCTCGAGTAGAAGAAATTTGGTAACAAATCTTCTCCTCAAGATGGAGAGCATTTCCCTGGAAAATTTTTCTCTGAAAATCCTTTCGTCTCAAATCGAAGAAACTTCGTATTAAAGCTGCTCTTGAAGATGGAGAGCACTATGATCGAAATTCTTTTCCTAAAGTGAGTTGCGAAGATTTCACTTGAAAATTTCCCTCCGAAAATCCTTTCGTCTCAAATCGAAGAAACCTTAAAGCCCCTCCTCAACATCGACAGCGTTACGATCGAAGATCGAAATTAGCGCGATACATCGGCCACGTCCTCCTCTCGATTTCACCATGCAGCAGCAATAAGGTAGAGAAGACCAAAGGAAAGCGGAGGCAGTGTGGCGTACAAAAGGCACGTCCATGGCGGTAAGATAGAAGAAAAGGGATCTCGGGGTTATTGTAATGCGAACAAACTTGCCAAAGGCATTAACACGGGTGGTGGGTGAGGATTGTTCGGCAGTGAGACCGTGTAAAAGAAAGAACACGGGGGTGATGGCGGAGGGGGAGAGCGAACGAGCAGCGTTCTCGAGCATACGCGTGAAACGGGGTGTATAAGGAGAAGCTGAGGAGAGAGAGAGAGAGAGGAAGGAGTAAAAGAAAAGAAGAGAGCGAGCGAACGAGAGAGAAAGAGTCGAACAGAAGGAGGGATCGTCGGACACATTCAGGCAGTCAGCCACGAGAAACGAGAACGTAACAATTACTATCTGAGACCGATCGGTACGGTAAGATTAACGATCTTACTCGCAGCGGCCACGTCGAGGCCCGTCTCGGCCGCGATTGCTCATGGGAAGAGCGAGGGGCCAACGTTAAAGTCACCTCCTCCTTTAGCTCAATGAGATATTGCCTGGCGAGCGTAGCGCACCTTTTCGTTCCACGGTAAATCGCGCGAGCTTCCTTCCTCTTTGTCTTTTTACGCCTTCCACGCTACGCAACCCACCCCCTTCCACGCCTTCTTACCTCCTCGTTCACGTTGCCACCTTCTTTTCCGGAGAGATATATCCTCGATAGCGCGTACAACACGTGAGACACTAACCCGGTCCTCGGTTTTCGCCTCGTTGTTCGCGGCTCTGCCGAGTCAATCAACGCGCCAATTCTCGCGCAGACCTTCTTTTTGTACTTTTTCAGACGGTCGAGATGAGAGAGATTTTCCTCGTCCTTCAGAGAATTGGGGAGAATTGCGGGGAAAAGACGAGAAATTTGGCGAATATTTGTCACCGTGAGAGCTTACAGAAAAGGGGACGATAGTGTGAAAAGAGAAAAGTGCTGGGAACGAAATTGAAAAGGGTGAAGGAAGGAGGGGGCGGAGGTAGAGAGGGAAGGGTGGCCAGGGCCCGGGGCAATAATACGCGAGAAATCGTGAATTAGTGAGCGTCTTTTTGAGCGAGCGGACAGAGGAAAGGAGTGCCCGATGATTTCTCGCCCAATTAGAGTCGACCGGGCTATAAACTTCTTCGCGGATAAGATAGGACCTCGGTTTTCTGTGTTCCGTCCGAGGCAGAAGGGGGGCCCGTAATGTCCCGCTTCAGCCCGGAAGCCTTCCAGGTCGCATATAGACCGGGAATCCGTGGCTCGAGTGGGAAAAAGAAACGCTCTTTCGCTCTCGCTCGTCTAAACTGGAGAGCAAGAGGGAGAGAGAGAGAGAGGGGAAAGCGGCGAAGGTGTCAGGGGGAAGACCGAGGGAGAGAAGAGTGTACCTGAGCATTGGGACGGAGCTAATTGGCTCGTCCACTGACCATTGAAACCGCCGTCCCGGTATCGTCTTCGATCCACGGAGCACATATACGTGGCAACGTTTCAGGACGATCAATTAAACGGAAATGGCCGGGAGATATCCCACGTGAAACAGACGTTCTCGCACGTCTCCAGACCCGCAGACACCGGCCGCGACCGACTGCCGATCTTCCAGCCTCGGAAGACGCCTTCTTTACTCCTCTCTCCTGTCTGTTTCCTTCTTCGCTGAATTTGTCTCCGTCGATTTTTCCATTCACGAAACAGCCCGACGACGACAGTCTCGTTTCCTATCGTCTGTATAAACACCACTCTCCGGTTCTCCGGTTCACTCAACTTTTCGTAAAATTTCCTTCGCCTCAGGTTTACCTTGAATTGGCTAAAATAAGAGACCAAGGTTATTAAAGGTACGATTATCGAGGATATCGCGGAGCGTAATTATCCGTTGGTAATAGAGCGGTCCCCCGGTGCGAACTCCTCTACCGTCTCCTCGAGGCGGGTGCCGATTTTATTTTACGTAATCAGTCGGTCCTCCCGAGGGAGAATACGCTGTCAGGACGTAGGTCTCTCCCTCTTCTTCTCTCGTTCGCCAGGCTCGCGTGCAACCTGTGTGTACGTGGTTGGGTCGCGCGGACCTCTCGCCGTGTTTGCGTGTGCACGTAGGGCCGGCGAGCGAAGTAATGGCGCAGAAGCCAACTCCTACTACTCTTGCGGCTTGAAATGAGTCGACTAGGATGGTGTCGACGTGATGTACAGCGACAGGGTTGATAGCGTTACAAGAGCTACTAACCCTTCTCCCTTTCTCTCTCCCTCACCTCGCCCTCGCTCTATCTCTCTCTGTTTCTCCACCCAACGTTCCCCTCTGTCCTTCGCCCTTTTCTCCGCCACATTCTCACCTTCCCGTCGCAACCACCACCGCCTCCTCCTCCTTCTCATCCTTCTCCTCCTTTTTCCTCGCGCCTTTCGCTTCTTTCTGCTTCTCTGGCTCGACGTGTTCGACGCATCAGCGTGTAAAGCACGCTCTCGTGGTCAGACCGGGCCTCCTTCTTCAGATCTTCTCTCTCGCCATCGTCCCTCCTCGACTATCTTCCTCGATTCTTCGA